CTGATATAATACGATCTGTACAGTAAGTTTCAAAAAAAGTTACAACAATCATCTTTTTTTTTGACGCGGGGAAATCTACTATTGGGATCCCGGGTCCGGTTTGCCCAGTAGCCCTCTCTATGGAGAGGGAAGACCCCTCGCCCCCGGAGAGAGGCGAAGGGAGTGCCGGATTTTTACCGGCTAAAACCCCGCGGGTATCCTTCACGGCGCGTTTCTTTGGTTAAGAGAGCGGGCCCCGGGTAGCGCAATGATTCGTCCGAGACCCCCCCCCCCGCGCCGCGCCCGATAGCTGGGCGCCTATCCCGGGGCGTTTAACGCCCCGCGGTCCTAACAAAGACCTAACTCCGCGTGGCGGGTTAAAGGGATACCCCTACCCGCCGACGCGGGTTATTGCGACAGTCGCGCGGTTACCTCGCCCGCACAATTGATCCTCCTGCAATATGTGGACTGGACCAATTCCTTACATATCCGATGTCGCCCCCGAGTGGGGGCCAAACTCCAGCGTAAAGGAGAGGGGAGGACAGAGTCGCCGGGTGACGAGCGCGGTGCTCTCACTTCTAAGAGGTGGGGGGCAGGCCTCGAACGAGTCGTAAGGCCCGCAGCAACCGCGTCGCCCTACTAACGGATGTCCATCCCCCACTCCCTATCGTCATCCGTTCTCCTCGGTTGAGGAAGACGCTATAGAAGGAGAATGTCTGCCGCGTAATCGCGGCAGTCGCGGTCCTTCTTCGTAGCTGTCGCTGTCCGTCCCCATCAGGCAGAAGGCGGCAGCAGCGGCGGGGGTGACCACCGTCTCCGGCCTCCCGTTCTGTCACCCACGCCACAACGGAGACGCTGGCGTCGCGGCGATGGTGATTGTCCATCGCCGCCACTGTCCTCACTATCAGGAGGGGTAACCTCCCCCCTCTTGACGCGTTCAGCCGCCTTCTTCTGCGACATTACTCGGCCGCAGAAGGAGGCAAACGCCTTCCACTTGTCCTCCCCCCGGGGGCCGACCGCAGCTAGCAGTATAGCCTGGGGGGAGAGATCGTTCCCTATCGCTGCCCGGAGAACTCGGCGCTTCTCTTTCCACGCTGGACAATACTCCAGAGTGTGTTGCGCCGAGTTTACCTCCTCCGGGCAATGGTGGCAGCCGGTGGTGCGTTCTTTACCAATGCGACACAGGTACTCACCGAAACATCCGTGTCCGGTGAGCATCTGTGTCGCATAAAATGTTAGTCCGCGTCCCTTTCTCGCCACCCAGTCCCGTAGGACTGGCTGGACGGCTTCGCGTACCCTCCTCCCCGAGACTAGCCGAAGGTCTAGGAGCTTCTCACTCCACTCCTGAAAAAGGGTCTCCCTTTCCTGTAGCCTCAGCGCGGCCCTCGCCCTGGGTATAACAATACCCATCTCCGCCTGTATCTCATTTGTCAGCCGAAGGGTGTACCTTGCCTGGCATTTGGCGAGAAGATTGATAGGCAGAATACTGGCGAGGGCCGTCACCCTCACGTGCGAGACGGTCCGGTACGCCCGGGCTGCCCGGCTTGCAATGAACCGTTAGACAGCCACGAGCTGGCGGCAGAGGGTGGGGTTTTCCGCCACCCTTTCCGCCTATACGGGCGCTCCGTATAAGAGAACGGAGTGGACCGTCATTGCGTAGAGGCGACGAACGTGCCCGCCTGCGCCACCCAGATTGGGCAGCAATCTGGGCGGACTATTGGCCATAGTCTGGGCCTTTGGCACTGTTCGGGCAACGTGCTCGCTGAAGCTTCTGGCCTCGCCCAGCCACAGTCTCAGATATTTTGGAACTGAAGTTGGAACTGAATTGGGACGCGAACGCCCTCTATGTCCAGGCAGAGACCCCCAGGAGGTGCTTTCCGCAGAGCCCGCTCGGCCCCGGCAGGCATCATATTGTACCCTCTGGCGGGTTGAACCGGTATACCCGTCAGAATCCTACATGGCCTGCCAGGGCCGCGCCGTAGCCGGTTGAAGAACCAGCAGGCCTGGGTCTTCTGCGGGGCCACCCGGAGGCCCAACTGCCTGATTGCGCGCACCACCGTGGCTGCCGCCACGTTGGCCAGCCTAAGTGCTTCCTGCCATGTCTCCCCACCGACTCCCAGGTACACACACATCGTCTGCGTACTCAGACAACCAACAGCCGGCAGGGAGAACAGCCCGCAGGATCGAGTCATAGGCGATGATCCACAACAGGGGCCCCAACACAGACCCTTGCGGGACACCGCACCCCATGAGCTTGATCCCCTCTTGGTCCACGTACGTGAGCCCCCTATCCCGGAAATAATCGGCGATCACTCTAATTAAGTAGGGTAAAACGCCGAGTCTTAGTAGGGCCTCTCTTATCACCGGCCAGGGTAGGGAGTTGAATGCGTTGCGAACGACAAACCCCACGCCCAACGTTACCCCACCCTGGTCCGTGACCTCCTTCGTGCGGGAGACGACGCGAAGAATCGCGTCGATTGTCGATTTCCCCGCACGAAAGCCAAACTGGTCATCGGAGAGGCCCTGATCGTCCCTTCGATATAGGTGCTGGATGAGGCGTTCGGCGATGATTCTTTCAAAATTTTGACGACCTCGTCCAGCAAACATATCGGGCGGTACGCGAACGGGGAGTCCGTGGACTTTCCGGCCTTGGGCAGGAGCACCAAGCTGGCCTCCTTCCATTTCGCGGGGAATCGACCGGACTTCAGGCATTCGGTATAAATCCGCAGTAGCCTATCAGTCAGTCCCCCAGCGGCCAAGGTCCAAACCCTCCCGGGGATACCGTCAGGGCCAGGAGCGTTACCCATCCTGACCCTGCGGAGAGCTTGCTCCAACTCTTCCCCTGTGACCCCCAGCTCGCCGCTCCACTCCGGGACTTTAATCTCCGGAAAGTGGACGGTTCCTCCGTCGCCGGCAGGAAAGAGGGTGCCCACGATCCTGCCGAAAAACTGGGGGTCCAGGGATACTCCGTCAACGGAGGCGCCCATGGTCTCAATCGGTTGAGAACTAGTTTATATGCGCGCCGCTACGGATCCTCGTTGAGCGAGTGGAGGAGCTCCTCCCAGCTGTCCTTGGCCGCTCTAATCGCGTTGGAGAGGGCCTGGCGGGCAGCATGCCAGGCCTCTCCAGCTTCCTCTACATCACGGTTTCCATAGCCCGTCCTGGCACGGAGCCATTCCCTCATCCGATGAACAGACGTCCGCCTGAGTTCGGCGATGGCGTCCGTCCACCAATATGCAGCGCGCCTCGGGGGGAGCCTCTTGACGCGGGGCATCGCAGCGTCGCACGCTCGCGACATTACATCCCGCAATTGCTCGGCCTCCTCGTCGACATCAAAGGCCCTCCCCCGCGTCGGCGCGCGGTCTTTTTTCATCACCCCACGTGAGGCCAAGCACGGCCGCACGGAAATGATCCGGGCTCAATTTCTTGAGGGCTCATCTCCGCTTAAACTTCTGAGCGTCCTGGCGTCGGGCCCGCACTGCCGGGGAGGCGGCGCCGACCATCACCTCAATGTAGCGGTGGTCGGACAAGGTCTCTAGACCCTTTGCCACCTCCCAGCCACGTATCAGGCGCGCGGCAGGGGGACTTGCCAAGTCAGGTCGACAATTAACGACCCCTGCCGGCGCACGCATGTGGCCTCGCGTCCTGTTTTCACGATACACAGGCCGAGGCCCGACGCCCACCCCTCCAAGATACGACCCCTTAGGTCCGCGGCGGGGGAACCCCAAAGTGGGTTTTTGGCGTTAAAATTCCCCGCCACGATAACCTGACGGGGCGGTGAGCGGAGGTGCCTGCGCACGCACAAATCTAGCTCGTGCAGCACCCCCTCGAACTCGGCCCGGTCTCTATTTGGAGTGTAAACGCTCACCACGAAGATGAGCCCCCATCTAACTACGACAAACCCGCTCCTCGTCTCGCATCTCGAGCAGGGGGGATTGCGGCAGGTCCCTTCACGTTATGGCAGCGGAGCCTGTGTCGTCCACGGCCCAGCAAGGGTGGTTTGCCGGGACCGTGTACGGCTCCGCCACCACTCCCAAACCACACCCGCGCTCCGCCATAGTGTGTCAAACAAATCTTGGGCGGCGCGGGCGTAGTTTAGATTTGCTTGTAACAGACGGAGGGGGGGGCATTATTGTTGTGAGCTCTTAACGAGGTCCTTTCCTTCCGCCTCCATTTCACTTGACTCCTCTATAGCGAGAGGAGGAGCCGTGTTCTCTGAAGACTCTTGCGCGGGTTTCGCGTCTATTGGTTCCGCTGTATTCACCAGCGTCACTTTATGGTCAACAAGAGTTACCTCCTCCCTCACAGTAGCCTTGGAAGGGGCATTCTTCGTAACCTTCGTCGGGGGGGGGGGGTGACCGACGCCACCGACGGCTTGCCAACCTGCTTGCCAGCGTTATTTCCGGCCGGCTTCTTTGCAGAGGCTTTGCTCTTCCTCTTGTTCGAAGGTGGTAGAGGGGCTACGCCGTCGCCACCCTTCTTTCTAGCCTTAGGGGCTTCCTTTTCCTCTTACCGGCGTTTTGGCAGGATTTACTGCCGACTTTATGTTGGCATTGGCGCCCTGCTTCAGCGCACAGAATGCACCTTACAGGTGCCTCGCAGTTTCGGGCTACGTGACCGATTTCACCGCATCGGTAGCACATGCCCTTTCGATCGACTGCGCTTTGGCACTTGGCCCTCGTATGCCCAAGTTCGAGGCATTTGAAGCATTGCATCGGCTTTTTTTCTAGGAACTGAATTCCAGCCCTATTCCAGCCGATGCCAACCTTCGTTTCTTTCCCTATCCTATTTATAGCGATGAGGGGGCACTTTACCAGCACTGTATTCATGCCGTTGAGTGCCCGCCTCATAAAAAAAAATAAAGAAATAATTATACAAGAATTAGTACAAAAGAATGAGGAGTATAATGATAATATAGGTGGTAATAATGAGATATGTGATGGCAGAACTGGGGGCTGTTATTAATCGCAACCTGGTCAAACGGACCCTCTCCCGTGTACATATGCAATACGGCCGTGTGCGCAATACGCTGTATGCAATACGGCCGTGTGTGCAACACGGACGTGAGTGCAATACGGCCATGAGTGTAATACGGCCGTGTGTGCAATACGGTCGTGTGTGTAATACGGTCGTGTGTGCAATAAAAGCCATGTGTGCAATGCGCTGTGTGCAATACGGTCGTGTGTGCAATGTGCTGTGAGCAATACTGAGCAATACGGTCATGTGTGCAATGCGCTGTGTGCAATACAGCCATGTGTGCAATGCACTGTGTACAATACGGTCGTGTGTGCAATACGGTCGTGTGTGCAATGCGCTGTGTACAATACAGTCGTGTGTGCAATGCGCTGTGTGCAATACGGTCGTGTGTGCAATGCGCTGTGTGCAATACGGTCGTGTGTGCAATATGATCGTGTAGACAAAGCGACATGTGCGCAATAATGCCTGTAGCCAATTGCTCTGTGGGCAATTTGAAATGTGTGCTATCGGGATTGTGTGCAATGGGTGTGTGCAAACGAAGCTGTAGGCAATCGTTTTGTAGACAAACGGGACCCTCCCTATAATATATATGTGATCAAAAATTTCTTGATAATAACACATGCCCACAAAAAAAAGTATATTGCTCTGAGGTTGAAACCACATTATTCCTATGTATTTTGACCCGCTGAACACGAATCTGCAATAAAAAATAGGGGTCGCACAGTGGATTGCAGAGATAACCTCAAAAAACCGTAAAAAACACGTTTTTTAGTGGTAAAGGCTTAAAAAAAAAGAATATAATTTGTCTCAGGTCAAGACCAACCAGAATTTTATTGGTAAACGCACAAACACACTTGTGTCAGTCTTTCCTGATGTTTAGATTGAAGACAACAGCAGGCTGAAGGCGAATCTGAAGATGGTTATACCTCTGAGAGCGGGAAAATTTGGCAATACTCGCACAGTTATTGTCTGTAAGTCCAGTTTGGTGATCAGAAGATTTTATACTGTAAGGGAATGTAGTGACTGAAAACCTGC